GAATAAATCAATGAATCCCCTTAATTAATTAGTAATGCCCATGGTAAGTTAAGGCTTCTACATCTGCATATTTTAGACAGTGACAGCCAAAGATTAATGTTCTTGTCCTTACCAGCAGCCTCATTCAGAAAAAGAGCAAGGTGCATGCTAAAGTGAATTTCTCCATCTCCTCATTCACTTCTCTACCACTAGGCAGTCCAGGAAGTCCTGCTGTAATTTTTCAGACCAAAATTGCAGAATTCATGAGACTTCTGCTTTCACAGAACAAACATCAACCACATAATATGAATGACAGACCCAGGAGCAGTACTCTTCTTATATGAATATCAAGTTTCCATCCTTGCCAAGCAAGTTCATGACACTTAATGCACAAAGCTTGGTGTGCTTTTAGTTATTACTTTGGACAGCAAAAATACAAGACTGTAAAGTGCATTAGTTGGCTTTTTTTTTTTTTTTCCACAAAAGAGAAAGGGATGTTGATTTTTAATTTTTTGATAAGAACTATTTTATGGTCTGAATATTCCATTTGCATCTGTCTGAAGTGTTAATTTAAAAACAATCACTTTGGTAAATGCAGAAATAACAAGTCTCAAACTGTCAGTTAAAAGAATCATAAAAAACCCTTAGAAATTAGGCAGATAGCGACAAATACTTATTGTAATTTCTTTTTATCTATAAGTTTACAGTAAGTTCAGTGGTCATAGGGGTACCACAATTACAGTCTTGAATTTTAAACTGATCCTTGTCTGGAAGACAAGAGTGATATTGAAATAGGCCTATCCAGCTGAATTTCCCAACCAAAAGAAAACCCAAACAGCTTTTCTAACAGTTGTTTCTGAATTTTTGTGAATCCTTTATTCACATTTTTGGGTTTTTTTTACTCATGTATGTATAAAAATTCACTAAGTAGGAAAAAATAATTCAGAATAAAAGGACATCTTTCAATTTAAGCAATAAGTGTGTGGTAACACACACTAATATCTTCTTAAAGGGTGATGCTCCTGGGTTTTTATGTAGGGTATAGTCTAGAAAAGGGCCCACAAGATGAATGAACGCCCAGAAGCTCTCCCAAAAACACTTCAGACTGAGGTGGCTGACTGGGACATACTGATATGTTGACAAAGTTACTGGGAGATCCTGGCCTGTTTCAAGCTACACCTAACACAGCACATAGAGTGAGATGTGGAAGGGGTTTTGGGAGAGAAACCAAAATTGGCTGGAAGGGAGCAGGATGTTGCATGGTGTCCTCTCTCTGCAGTGTAGAAATCTTGCTTCCTACTGCAGGAGCTTTTTTGCAGCTGCTTTGTTTGCTCTGTGATTACATGTGTGAGCAACCAGAATTTATGAGTCCACACAGGTCAAGTGAAAGGCTAAAATTTTTCATTCCAGGAAAATGACAGGAGAGGGAGTCAAGGGAAAGTTCAAGTCAAAGGCTGTGAGGAGTTAAATACAGATGAGTCAATAGCTCACATGTGGACATATCCCAAGAACAAAATGCTTCTATACTTCTCACTAAATTTTTCAGTTCTCTGACTGAAACATTTTAGACCCATTAATGTGATTCCTCTAATAGTGCAGACAGGCTTTTTATGCAGGGATACCTCTGGAGATACAATAACTGGAGGAATATTCCTCTCTATCGGGAGAACTGTCAGAAGAAATTACTCTAATACATGTGCACAGGGCTCCTCCAGAAGTGGAAGGCTGCTCCCTTATGGGGAGATGAATGGAACCTCAAGGATGTTGTAGGCTTTGGTTATTCCCTTTTGTTTCTTGCCTGAAGCACTTTTAGATCATGTTAGGAGATTTTAAGCACTAGAAGTAAATGAGAACTTCCATTTACTTTTCTGGTAATTTAATGTTTGGCAAGCTGAAAAATATACAGATTAATTGATCTGCCAGGCTCATCTGGTTTAGCAAATTAATGAGTCTGCATGAAAAAGAGGAAAAACTGCAGAAGCTTTCCTTCCCTAACAGGTTACATATACATTATCTGAGTGTCCTGTCCTTCCTCTCCAGTGGGGGTTTAGGAGTTCAGCAATGCAAGTAAGAGGATTTCTATTTACATCAGTGATTTCTGTCGTCTTTGAATAGATGCTAAGGATTGTACCCTGCTCTAGTGAACTGCTTGGGGAACTTTCCACTGATTTAAATGACAGTTTAGCCATTCAACAGCTAAGGAAGGGTTTTAAAAATATATGGGAAGCAGAAATTCCCTGAGAGAAGATGTGAGGCATACCTCTGGATGAATAAATTGTCCTGATGCTGCCCCAAGCAGATCAAAACAGCTTTAGAAAATTCTGTTTCTTTTGAAGTTAAGACAGAGACAGCCCACCAATGCCTTTTATATTTCCAGTTTGCAACACATGCCTGGAAAAGGGGAGAGCAAGATCTAGAAAGAGTGTAATTGGTTTTCTGCTGGAAGTTTCACAGGTGGACCAATAGGGGCTAGTACAGAGGAGCTGGGAGGACCCTGGAAAATATCATAAGCATTGTGAAGAGCTGCAGACCTGTCATGTCCCTTACACAAATGCACTTTCCTTGTGCTGTGGGATGCCCTTTTCCATCACCTCTGGGTCACTGGCTCCTCAAACCCAAGACCTTCCCATTCCAAGCCCCAGTGTGACTGCTGCAGCATCCCTGAGAGGGCTGGGGGAAGGTGCAAGAGAAGCATCACACAGGCCTCAGACTGGCAGAGGGGGACAATTCCCAACCTGTTGTCATCCACTAAAACACTTAATAGGATGCTTTTTTGTATGATACAAACGTTTTTTGCACCACAGACAGTACATCTCTCCAACTACTCTTCAGAATTCTTGGCATGTTTAAATATTTATTATAAACTAATATGACATTTCAATGAGATAAACACAGCATTTATCTTATCTAACAGACAAGAAGACAGTTACTCAAGCACCTCCCAGAGCCATTAGAAGTTCAAGGTCTGAAAAGGGATCCTCTTCTCTGCTCGTAAGCTTGTGGGTTGTGCAGAGTCAGTAGTTTGTCTCTCTGAGAGCTGGAGCAGGTCTGGTTTGCTCCCATCCCACCACCTCCAGTTACATTTCTGAACTACCAGAAGTATTGGGAAAGATTACTCTGCTTATCACCAGTGACCAAAAATTGCTTTTAGAAACAGAGAATGTCATTAGTGACCTCATAAAAACAAAAACAAAAGCAAAAAAGAAAAGATAAATCTGAAGGGTGGGTTAAGCCTTCACTATGCAGAGATAGCCTAAGGCAGTGTTTGCACTTTATCAGCTTCCACTGACTCGGTTGTTTATTTTTTTATCTGTTTGTTTTATAGTAGCTGAGGTACTTGTTTATAACAGCATCATTTTTTTATCAAAATGTTAATTTCCATACATAGGATCTGGGCTTTAAATTACTGAAATCATCCTGAGAAAGAGAAACACAAGGGATACATGGAGGTCAATAGATTGCAATTGTTCAATGATTAATCATGTCCAAAGAGCCAAGGCAAGCAATGTGAAACCTCTGTGCCCACACAGGCAAGCAACTACAGGGCAAGGTGAAGGCATGATATTTTATGATCCAAATGGAAATCAAGCCAGACTGCATTTTAGAGATATAAAGGGAGATGCAACAACATAATTTAAAACACAAGAAAAATAAACTTTAATGGGTCACATAAATATCAATGCAGATTGATTGCAGGGGAACTAGTATATTAACAAGCCAAACAAGTTCACTGTCTGCTCTAAACAGACATAACTGCAGGTCAGCATGCAAATTCCTTCTATTATTTATACAGTCACAGACAGTTATAGGATATTGCATACTGCATAGAATATTGGCAAAGTCATGGTCCTGCAGAAAAAAATACCCTCTAGATTTTTTAACTCTGGTTGAAACATTCAGAGAAGACCTGGGAAGTGACAACAGAGCATTATCAGTTCAGCACGATGTCACCACACATGCTCCAGCTCCCCACCCAAGTTAGTTTGTGTTCAGAGTCTTTACACCAGCTAATTATCCCATTAGGAACCCCGGAGGAGTGAATGAGGCCAAGAATTGGGCTGTGCAGTGGGACAATGGGTAACTGAAACACAGCAACCAAAACCTTCAAAAAATGAACAGAACTATAAGGCCTTTGTTGGGACTTTTTTCTTTAGCTATTGGTTATTTCTGGTACTGGGCAATTTTCAAAAAACAGTGTGAAGAAAAAAAAATTGTAGCAACATTCCTAGAAAGCTCAAAGAGCTCTGAAGAATTAGTAGCAATTTCAAGTGAGACTGTGTATCAGCCTTGGACTGAATCAATGAATGTATAACAATCTCTGTTTTTTTCTTGTCTCTTATGAAGGTAGTTCTGTATATCTTAATAGTCTGAGACTTTCCAGTGACTAAAAGTCATTAATAAAGGAAGAAGAGCATAGTTTTTTTTGGTTTTTTTTTTGTGTGTGTGCTTATCAAAACTACTACCAGCATTTCCATTTTGGCAGGTGAGAAAATGTTGAAAGATAAATAATTAAATTAATCCATTAATTTATGTATTATGTACAGAAGTTGCCATTATAATGGCTTTCACATTTCCCACCAGGATACAGTCTCTGCAATTTACATTGCAATTACACATTTTCCCTTGCACTCATAATTTATCTCACGACTTCTGCCTTCTGACTAATGGGGACAGAATCCTTATTCCCTTCCCTGCTGTCACCACTCAGCCTTGGAAGGACTGGAACTGCTCTGCTGTCCTCACTGCCCAAATAATCCAGCTGTTTACCCAGACCTCATGTTCTTATGGTACACGTGGGAAAGGCCCAAAACTCAAAGTGCTTTAAACCCTGTTCAGTTTGCACAGTGCTGCTGTAGCTCAAGCTGGATCATGGTAACTTTGAAGCAAACCAAAAGCAAATTCCACAGAAACCCAACAACAAGAAAAAACCCTCTCTTGTTTCTTTTAAATTATTTAGTAAATAAATCTCAAAATAATTTTCCTTTTCTTCATGGCACCTCTGAGCTCTTTTTTTACATCTCTTTATCAAAGTGACCTAAAAAGCTGGACAATGTGCTTATAGGGTGATATCACCATCATTCCTTTCAAGTATAGTGCTGCTGGCACCTTCCCAGCAACCCTTCTGGACAAGACACCCTTGTGCAGTTTCCTATGATGGACAGGGAATGGACCCAACTCCCTCATTTGCTATGTAATCAACTCATAAGAATTCCTCAGTGCTGAGAACTCGATGCCAATTAAAATACAGTGTGTTTAAAGTCTTATTTCTGTTTTTTTTTTTTTTTTTCTAGTAGCAAAGAAAGCTTGAGAATGAAAAAGTTCAAAAGGGGATTTAATGAAAACAAAACCTTCATCTCAAAAATATAAATTTAGTTTTATTTAATAAAAGTGGGGCAAAACAAGGGTTGTGGAAGACAGAAGAACTTTAAAGATGATGCTTCTTCCAATGGAAAAAAACCCTAGAAGGAGAAATTAAAAAAAAAATATATATATATATATATTTTACATCAACAGAATATTTTCCAGAATAAACTTCTAGGTCTAATTAGGATGGCTCTCCTGCCCTTGATGCTAGGAAGGGCAGTCTCTACCTGCTGGTAGAGAGCTCCTGAAGTCTCTAGGGCAATAATAACAGCAACATAGGGTCCCAAAAGCAGTAGGAGCCAGCATTCATTGATTTTGGCAGCAATAAGGCTCATTGATTTTACTGCTTGACACAGCTAAAAGCAAAAGAAAAATCATCTTCAAGGAGGATATGTCATGTGTATTCTCTGAATACATTAACAAAAGGGGCCCTTTGGAAGCATATTAATATTCTACAAAAGCCAGAGAAAAACTGACATGTTTTGAGGATGGTGCTGAAGCGTCTGAGACATAACCAAGGATGAGTGGCAGCTTCTCACTCTCTCACCATGATCACAACTTCCACTGCTTTCTTTCTCAGGTGGTTTCAGTGCCTCTTCTTGGTACTGGGAAAGGAAGGACAGAAGAAATGGCAGCGTAGGGGTGACAAAGGGTGAACAGGAGTCATCAGCATGCAATCTTCTGGCCTGTATCTCATGTAATAAAAAGTAGTTCAAATAACAACATTATCGGCTGTGAAAGAAAGCACTTGAAAATCTGCTCTAGAAGGAAAAGTATAGGAGCACTTTCACTGACAATAAAAGAATGTACCTGTGCATCACTACCACCTTTCTTCTCTTTGCATATCAGTCTGCAACTTCATTTCTCCTAGAGGTACTGTAATCTCACTGGAAACCAAATAAGCAAATACATTTCATTGTTTTTCTTACCCCACTTAGATAGCATAAATTGCAGTTTGCAGAGTAAAGCACTTGGGTATTATATACTATTGCTTCATTTACTAGAAAATATTAAGAGAATTAACAGATTACTGTGTTCAAGACTCTTGGCAGCTACAGATTCTTGATATTATTCCTCTTAAAAAGAAAGAAAAAGGTAATGAAAATATATGTCTTTTTCAAAGGTACTCAGGTCTACTCTTTAAACAGAAATTGAAGAACAGCCCTTTGAATAACAGAGGGAAATAACAAAATGTTGTTTCTGGTTGACCAATGAATATAAATTTGATTAGCTGATAATTTTAAAACATAACCAATCCAAAGAAAATATTTTGCTCTACCCAAACCAAGCATTTTTATGTTTATACTTTCTGGTGCATGTCAACATTATTCAGCAGCTACTTTTAAAGTGTAAATCATTTCTTAATAGAATTCAAGCATTTAATTTAGAAAATATGTTTACAAAATACTTGGGCTTTCCAAATTGAAATAATTTGCAAAAGTGTACATTTTGAAAATATTTTGCATGACCCAAATCAAAATACCTGTGAAAAAAGGGTCTAGTTATATTTACTCTACACAGTCCTGTTCACTACACTGTCCTTTCCATTTATTTCAGGACTAAATCAGAAAATAATGAAAATCAAATGAGCCAGAAAAGGATTGTTTTCTCAGTTTAAAAGCTACATTGCAGAATGAAGGGTTATAATTAAGGGCCATCAATTATCATTATTATTTCCATAGAAGAGAGAAAAAAGACCCTTGCCTTTTCACTGTATAATGTGACTACAAGAGAAAATTCCAAATAATTTTCTTAAGAGTTTTCCAACATTATTTGGTCTTCTTAGAAGCTGAAAATAATTTCTGGCTATAACATTGCAAAAGAACCTGGTGCTCTCTCAGTAGTCACTTTTATTACCAAAGTAGGTTACTCTGTTTAGCCTAAGAATTTAGAAGCCTGTTATATTTGTACATACATCCTACCAAGCCTTAATCTGCTCAACATACCTAAACAACATAAAAATTACTAAACATTATTCAGAGTGTACCAGATACAAACCAAAATTATTCAGAGTGTACCAGATACAAACCAAAATTCTATTTAACAAGGGCATGTATGAATTAGAATTATTCAGTCTAATTTCAATTATTCTACTTCTGAAGTGGCTGGAAATACTGGTCAAGACGTGAAATCAACCAATCATGCAGAAGACTAAGTCACAGGTTGGAAAATAAAACTTTAAAGCTGGAAAAACTTATCAAGCTTGTCTGTGTCTTATATTGTAACAGACCATCACTGGAAATAAGCAGTCAGACTGGTCAGTGTAGACAAGACTTCCAAAAAGTAACCTGGGCATAAAAAACTTGAAAATTAACAAACTTCAGAAAACCTTCTCCTAACAGCAAGAACAATATTCTCAACATTTCAAGCCTCAAGGTCATGGGTGGAAAAATCCTGCAATTTCAGAGGTTCAAGGATACAAATATCTAAAGCAATCAAGTTAGCATTCAACCATATCTAAATTTTCTCTTAATGGATAAAATTGTGCAACATTAATATTTGACAGAAAACACTCATATTATTATTTTTTTTAGCTATAAATGGAAAAAGGCAGAATCCATAGAGCAGCACTGGGTAGCAGTGTGAGGAAAGACAGGAATCCCAAGTGTAAGGTAGAAGGCATTTTCATCAACGACCACTAGGCTGAAATATAAAGGACCTTAGCTCACCCTGCCCCCCAAGTGCAAATGTCCATAACTGGAATAGGGCACAAGAAGCTCTCCCTCAGTCAAACTTTTCATAGCAGGGATAAAAATGCCCTGAAGTGAAAGAGCAAATATATCACAATGCTACCAATTCACTGATGAGTAGGGGGAAACACCTCCTAAACTCATCTAAAGCTGGCTCTGGCCAGAAGAGAAATCTTAAAATTGACATGGCCTCAAAGACTATTCATTAGCAAGTCTCACACATCTATTATGAAACTAACACGTCTGCACAAAGGGTGCTTCATGTTCCTCATCTTTATCATCAGTCTGTGCAGTGCAGAACCAAAACTGGACCCCTACAGGCCCAGGCTTAGCAGCTTCCCAAAACACCATGATTCATCCCAGATGTTTTAGATTAAATGGGTCCAAGGGAGAACTGGTTTTAATACTTGCCACACGTGCCCCCCAACATTTCTTCCAGGGCCCTACACAACTTGTCTTTGGCACAGGGATGCAAGCTAGTATCTGAGCACAGGGCCACAGGAGCAAGCACTTGCTGTGGCTACCAAATGTGTGAACTGACATATCCCATCTGTGTGCCTTATAGGTCTGAAAAACCCTATGCTCTCTCAACCTTGCTCCTGCCTTTAAATTGTGCATTTCACAGACTTTAGCATGACTGGACTAGATGATTGACTTTCCACCATTCTCACCCCTTTAGTACGAATAAAAGAAAATCCAAATACTGCCTGTGAAAGTGGCTGAGGTTCAAGGAAAGAGAGGTAGTTCCCTTCCAGGAGCTACCACTTCCCTGCCAGGAAGTGGTTTCTTACAGACCACTTTGGAAATTAAATCTACCTGGTATGAAATGCTGGTGAGAGATCACCTGTAAATACAACAATTTGCACTCGACCATGACAATACTAGAGCCATAATGATGTTAGTTCCTGTGTGAGAGGAACGAGCTGTATGCCTTCACCTACCAAAAATGAGGGGGTGGGCACACTTCTGATGTGAATATATGCACAAATGAGCAGCTTTACAGGTAGCCCTCAGTGTTGTGTTTCCTTCTTTCTTCAGTCTGAAGATGCCATATACACTCAATGAAAATTACAGAAAAAATGTATCCTTAGGAGTCACAGATTTCCAAACCACTTTGGCAAAGAAAATGGTTCTCTAAATTATAGAGATAGGCTGTGATCTGTATTTGCATAAAAACATGAAAATGTCTACTGTGTGATTCAAATACTTCTAGCACTTTAACATAATTACTGTTCCTGCTTAAAAATCACCCATGGAGAAATGGATGAGGCCTTAAAATATAGCACAATGCAAAATGCATCTTATGAATTGTACAGCTTCTAAAATGATCTTGAAACTCAAGAGGTGGCATGATTTAAGGTATACTCTCAATTTCTTTTATATTATAGACTACACCTTCAACCCCAAATAGTAGGATGTCATTAGCCTTCAAACTTTATGAGGTTCATAACCTAATAGAAGATTTCATACTGTGCATCTGCATTAGAATTTTTATTCCTTTCAGGAATGCACTTTTGCAACAGATCTCCTGGTCACTGAATGAGCTTTAGTCCTGTGATAGTCTCAAAGAACATGAGGGACACTGCCTTCAAAGAGTCCCTGCATTGTACTCAAGCCTCCAGTGGATTAACACACCCACTGGATCAGGCTACAGTTTTCTCCCTTTAAAATTCCTGAAATTTTTGGAGTGTGGATATTGTGTCTGTAGTGTAGCTTTACTCTACTAATCCACTCCCATTGTTTTCACTACTTGCTGATGTAGACATAGTGTACAGCTGTGCAGATGTTAGATTAGACCCTTAAACCCCTATTAGAAAACAGGATTAATCTTCACAGAGAGAAGGTAGCATTAAGCAAGATTGGACCTTGTGTGTTTTGACTTGTCTCTCAAACATTCATGACATAATGTTCTCACTTCCTCTGCTTTTTTCCTCAGTAGTTGCTGTGTTCTATCAAAAGAATAAATTGCCAGAATGTGGGGTGCTTTTGGAAACCAGGACTGGCTGCACTTGTGGAATTAGAAGCTCACAGAGATTAAATTGTAAGATTATATATTTTCATCTTCTTTCCCAATATAGAAACTGGACCACAGATTGCCGTTCTCATTAGGATATTAAAAATATTTTTGTTCCCAAATCCTTATATTCATAGCTTTGATTATACTCATGATTTAAATGTTCTTCTCTTGTCTGTGCTGCAAACTGTAGTGCAGAACTCAAAAGCCAGAAGTGAAGGTCTCATTTCTTCAAAGCTTTAGGGAAACCTATAGGCAATTTATTTACTCCAGGCTAAGATAACATACAGTTAAGAAAGAGATTAATGGAAATGGTTCCAGCTTTGGCTGTGGTCATAATACATGCATCTGGAATGCAATTACTGGGAAATAAAAAATTACAATAGCATAGGCAGCAGATTTTTTCTAACTGTATGTACAGACAGCAAAGATGTTATCAAACACATACATCTGCATTCAGCAACTTTCTCTTCTTCAAATAAAAGGAAGCAAGGTACTTGTTGGTTGTACAGTGACTGCAGTACTCTGACTTGATATTAAAACAAAATCACCCACATATATCATTCTGTAAAAAAATACTAAGTGATAAAAAAAATGACAATAGAGGTACTGGGACTAAGATGGAAAAGCACCAGTCACCAAGCAAAATTGAATGTTGCAAAAAGGATGATACAGAGTGTAGTTGTGTAGTTTATAATTCCAGGAAGATATCAACTTCTCAGTAAGGTCAGGCAGTGTAGTTTGGCATTAAGAAGCATGGAACTAAATCAGATGAAAATATAAAATTAATGTATGCACAGGTGAAAAGGGAAAATGTTTCCTTGGAAGTTTCTCCCATTGCTCTACTACTGGGAGAGAAGAACATGCTCAAATCATAGCCAGTGATGGCCATAGGTTTATCTTTAAGCCAGAACAGGGAAATGTAGTACAATAGAAATAAAATCATGCTTCTCAAGTAGTCCAGCAGTGCTTACTCTGTCCTGTCTACAACAGAAGAAGAACAAGGAGGGAAAGTCCAGGCAGGAGGGGAGGCTCTGGAGAAGTGTGTAGGGGACAGGTGGGTGCTGGAACTGTAAGAAGGTGTTTAAACTGCCGGCTCTGGTCCCTCTGTGGCCAGCAAACCCACGCCTCTCTGGAGCAAGTCCCTCAGCCACCTTCTCCTGGATTGGAAGTTCTGCTCCTTTCACTTCTCATTTCAAACACAGAGAGCTAGCTCACAGGGCTGTTGACACCTGTCACTACCTGGACAGATTACAGAAAAAGGCCAGACCCTGACCACCTCTCCTTTTTCCGAGATGAAACACATACTATTTTTTGCTGTCTCTTTCTTA